AAATCCGATTATTGTTTTAGTTCAAGTTGACGAAGAAGCGTTTTTAGCTCCCGGGGTAAAAGTGCTTGGCCTCGGTATCGTCTCGGTCGCTGAAAAATGGAAGAGTCTGTTGGAAATTTATTAGGAAGAGAAGAGGGGAAATCCAAGCCCGACTGAATATGAATGGGCGAAAGGGGTGGCCAACTGCCAGTGAGGGGGACGGGAACACAGAAACACAGGGAACGCAGGGAACGCAACTCTGACGATGATCATCGGCTCATTCCCAAAGTGCTTTCTTGCCTTTTTTTAGTGGCCCGTGGCATGGAATTCATCGAAGCCTTTCGAGCCGAGCATCATTATCACACGATTAACGGTTGCAGCGGGGGACCTTGAGAAGTAACAGCCTACTGTGTAACGCTCTCAATTACCCGTTTAATTTAGTCAAAGAAGTGATGCAATAACACCAAAACTGCAAGTCAGAAGCAGGTTGATCCCATCATATAGACAATAAAGATTACAACTGTTATTTTATCGTGTTTCCGATTGTTCCAACGTTCTTGTCATAGATATTCATTTAGGTCACCAAAACCTGGAGGGGCCTGGTGGGCTTTCCGCAAATCCGCTACGGATGCCTGAGATTCAAGGCACTCAAAGCGGAACATTTGCCGGACTCGCATTAGTCACCAAACTTGCCCTCCCGTGCCTCCCCAGGCGAACCTTAATAACCGAGTGGCCTCGACCAACCAAACCAACTCTGCATTCCATTTTCCTTTCTCCATGCTTGCAACGACCTCACAAGTCTTTGCACCCCGACTGCGATAGCGAAACCGATCGCAATCGCCCACCGCGAGCCCGTCGTCGATTCATTTCTCTACTTACGGCATCGGCCGCGAATACAAATTTTCATTCTTCTTTCATCGGTCGCCTTGCGTCAGAGTCCCCGCGCTAGAAGTTGAACAAAGCCTGCCTGGTTTTCCAGCGACCGGCTGAGAAAGAGACGACACGTCAGACGATCACACCCCCAAATCCTAACCTTCAATCACAGGAACTCGTTGCCCGTCGCACCACCGCCATTCAAGTGATCGCCAGTTTTCATCACGGAATCTTGTTCGTTTTTTCTTTCTTTCTGGCTTCTGGCTGACAAAGAGTGTCAAATTGTCGCTGGCAAGTGGAGGCGTTGGTACTATTGGGGAGGAAATTGTAGCGATTCAGCTGCTGTTCTTTTGAGATTCAATTGAATAGACTGCCGAGTTTTTTCGCGCAAGGGTCTTTGTACTTTTCTTTTCTATTTCGTCGCTTAACCTCCATTCAAAAACTGTTTCTGTCTCTTTCGAGAACAATCAGAATTGATTCCCACCTGCCCTTCGGGTTTGAGGAAAGAAGAGAAAAACAAGAGAGAAAACGAGCTTCATCGCCTGTTTTAGGGGAGAATTCAAGATCAGAAGTACTCGGTGCTCTACCCCATTCACATTGTGCAGGTTTGAGAAGCAGAGACACAACCTCGACGGCAATAGTTGTTCCCCTTTCCTAATAATACAGCATCCCCCTTTCGCGCTTCACTTGGTGTGTGGTATCACTCAGTGCACTCAGTTGCACCAACGTAGCGAGAGTTTTATTCGACCAGTACCATCACCATGGCGTCTTCCGTTTTTTTCAAGTTCAAGTCCTCGAAGGAGCCTACCCGTGTCGAGTTTGATGGAACGGGTATCTCTGTCTTCGAGCTGAAACGTGAAATCATTCTGCGCAGTGGGCTCGGTGATGGAACTGACTTTGAGCTTGTCATCTATGCCGATGATGCCTCGAAAGAAGGTAAGACAGTCCTCAGTAACTCCACAAGACGGTTCGGTCTCTAACCAGAATACAGTATACGATGATGATACGACCATTATCCCACGATCAACTACAGTTGTTGCCCAGCGCATGCCACCCAAGATCCCTGGCAGAGGCGGTGCTGCTCGCTACGTTTCCGGCAAGATGCCTGTCCACGCAAAGAACTCGTCAAGGAGAGAACAGGCGCCGAAGACTATAGCCAAGACTCAGTCCAACACGTTGGCCAAGTTGAGCAGCGCCATGACGGAGGAGGAGAAAATGGCTGCAGTGTTTGCCGCTCAGACAGAACACTTCACATCTCGAGAAGAAGAAATGTCCACCCAACAATACGTCGCCAAAGGTGGTCCCAAAAAGCCGGCCAACGTTCCAGACCACGAACCACCTCAGGGCTACATCTGCTACCGCTGTGGTGAGAAGGGTCACTGGATTCAGCTCTGCCCAACAAATGACAACCCCGAATATGATAATCGGCCACGAGTGAAGCGCACTACCGGAATTCCCAAGTCATTCTTGAAGACGGTGGACAAGGCAACGGCCCTGGGCCAGAACGCTGATGGTGATGACTCAAAGGCGCCGTCTGGAATCATGGTCAACGCTGATGGAGAATTCGTGATTGCTGAGCCTGACAAGGCGTCTTGGGAACAGTTCCAGGCCAAGGCCAAGTCAAGCGCAGCAAAAGAGGCTTCGGCAGATGACAAGGCGATCCAGGAGCTAGGCTTGGAATGCCCAATCGACAAGAAGATGTTCATAGAGCCAATGAAGACCCCGTGTTGCGGAAAGACGTATTGCAATGACTGCGTCACTAATGCTCTCATTGAGAGCGACTTCGTCTGCCCAGCCTGCAAGACGGACACTGTCTTGATCGATGATCTCAAGATAGATGACGAGGCAGTCGAGAAGATCAAGAAGTTCCTTGCCGACAAGGATAGTAAGGCCAAGGAGGGCTCAAAAAGCCCCAAGAGCCCCTCAGCGGCAAAGTCACCTGTACCTACCAGTGCAGAGACGGGTGCTGAAGCTTCGAAGGTCAAGTCAAAATCGCCATCACCCGCGCAAGCTGTTCCCGCAACAGCCCCAGCAACCCAGGCAGCGAACCCAAGTACCTCAACACGTAGCGCCACCGGGACACCAGCCAACGGCGATGCTGCCCAAGCTTCCAAGAAGCGTCCTGCTGAGGATGCTCTCGAGAATCCCAAGATTCCCAAGGCCCCAAAGGCTATGCAGAAGAACCAGGGGGCCCAACACCCAGGGATGATGAGTGGTATGATGCCCGGGATGAACGGTATGATGCCTGGAATGCCCGGTATGGGGATGCCCAACATGATGTTCCCTGGTATGCCGATGATGGGCAACTTTGGCGGTATGGGTATGCCCAACATGCCCAACATGCCCATGAACATGATGAACCCGATGATGAACCCTATGATGGGAGGCATGGGCGGTTTCCCCGGAATGAACGGCATGAACGGCAACAACTTCGGCGGCGGTATGCCTCCTAACGGCAACGGCATGTGGGGAGGCAACGACATGAATGGAATGGGTATGAGCATGAATGGTGGAGCGCCAAACATGGGCCGAATGCATGGCGGCCACATAAACAATGGTCCCATGGGCTATTCTGGTCCTCAGCAACAAGCACAGCAACCACATCACCAACCCTCAATCCCACAACAACAGCAACAGCAACAACAACCACAACAACAACAGCAACAACAAGTTCCACCTCAGCAGATGGCAATGCCAATGCATCCTCACAAGAACTTTGCGCACCAACCAGCCGCCGATGAAGATGCCTACTTCCGGAAGCCTGTGAACCCTCATCGTCATCAGAACCGACAACGTCGTGTCCGACCCAGCGATTATCGGGAGCTCTAAAACAACATCAAAGCCTGTAACAACAATGCGACTTCTTCTGCTTAGGGTCACTTGACTTCACACTTGCCCTTCCTTCAGATAATGGGTACTTTTAGATCTTTGTGTAGATATTCAGACAGTCATCATGGTACATACAAAACAACACGAGGTGGTACATATCATGGGAACATACGACAATAATAATGCTATGGACAAGAAGCAGCAGCAACAAAACAGCGTCTTGGGTACCTGCGAGGAAATATCAAAACAAGGGCAAAGTTTATTATTGGGACTACCATCAGCGCGGCTGTTTTTGTTCCATGGAGAAAAAAAGAGAAGGAAACGGAGTTTATTCGGGGCATTAAGGTTTCAACAAGGGAATCCCCGGGAGGAAGTTTGGTCTCAGTCAATCATATGCATAAAAACGGCGTCTAGGGTGATCTGGATTCGGGTTTCTGGGATGGTGTTTTTATTTTATTTTTCCCTCCCATCATCTGGCAAGAGGATGGGTAGCCGGATGGGAGGGGCGGCGGTAAATTGGAACTTGTTGCGTGTTTGTTTTTGTCGGTTTTAGGGAGAGAAAAGAAAGTCACAAGGGATGGATATCACAATGATAATGTGGAAAGGGAAGGGAAGGAAATGGAATACCGGTGTGTTGTCTTGTGGCGTCCCGGAGTGGGGGGGGGGGGGGGGGAGGAAGTAAAAAAAGAATTCAAAGTCCAGTAAGAACGGGGCCGAGTGGATGGGATTGCGTGTCGGAAGGGAAATGAAGGAAGTAGTTTTTGTTTTGTTTGGGCGTTTTGTATATTTTATGGTTACTACTTGCGGTGTTTCTGGCCTTTCTTCATCTTTCGTTCTCGCAAATTCCGCAGACGAAGGAGAAGACGGAGTACGCGCAAAACATAATACCCATTTGTTGATGAATCTAAATTGGTTCTGAAAATGCATAAAACTGGCCTGAATGCTGTATCCTATGAGTGAGAAAGCTGATTCCTTCCACCAACGATTTTTTCTCTCATAACATATCGCCTTCCATGTTCCTTTAATGAAACCCAACCTGCCAGAACTAGTCAAGCTATCCATCCCATCCACACTCTCTCCATCTCTTATTTCAGGTCTTCCAATCCACATCAAAGTTTCATTCACACCTTCACCCTTCGCTAACATGCACTCACGCACATTGAATTATGGCAGACTCCACCCGAACCAGCAAAACTGAAGCTATCCACACCACAAACCCCACACATACCCACCCACTCAGCAACAAACACAAAAAAACAAAACAAACCCCCCCCCTCCCCAAAAAAAAAAAAAAAGGAGCAAAAAAGAATATCAAGAACGGGGCCACCCGGGGATTGAACCCGGGACCTCTCGCAAGCGTTCAGAAGGAAACTGCTGAAGCCTTTAAACTCGGGTTTTGGAAATGCCCTAAGCGAGAATCATACCACTAGACCAGCGGCCCTTTTTGTGTTCTGTGGTTGATGGTAGATGAGTCACCAGAATGATTTCAAATACGAGAGGGATGGACTAACCGGGGTTGGACATAGCCTCAACGCAGGAAGGGATGAATGACGGTTTGAGTGTGTCCAGTTTGTTTACGGATAATAAATAGTTCTTTATTTCTACTATTCAAAAACTATCTACTGTTTAGGGGGTTGCGGTTTTTCAAGGGTAGGGTACTTCTCTTCTGACTGTATCAGGCAGGCTTGATCTCACCACCGGCAGCCAAATCCTTCTCGACCATCTGCCGGCAAATAGGATGATAAAAGTCACGGTTCTTGTCAAAAGTCTTGAGAGCCAACTCGCGGTCCACCTTGTTCAGGCCACGGAAGAGCGGGCGGACAAACTTCATCCGGCCGACCTCTCCGAGCAGGTCAGCAACGCCCTGGTAGGCGCTCGTGTCCTTGGCCTTCATGGCGATGTGGTAGTAGGCCGACTTGAGCTCAGCGTTCTTGGAGTCCGAAAGACCGTAGGTCTTACCCAAGGTTTGCTATCCAAATTTGTTAGTGCGCCGAGTAAAATGCGTGTAATGTGTGGGAGGTAAAACATACCGACTGCTCAACCGACAAGGGCTCCTCAAAATCCTGCACCGTGTTCAGGAACACAAGGACCTGATTGCCAGTCCAGGAAGCCGTGTCAGACGGGCTTGGCTTGAAGTCCTTTTGCTTCCACTTCTCGGCCAACTCGTAGCACATATCAACCAGCGAGGTGTCAAACTCAGGCTTGGGAGGAAGACCGGTGCTGTAGAAGCGTCCTTCCCAGTCGATCTCGGCGATCTTGTTCTTCAGGCTTGCAAACTCGGGGGCGCCGAAGAACTCCAGGAAGGTGTCTCTGAATTCGAAGGAGTCCAGAGACTTGGTTGCCCACTTGTTGAAGTAGTGTGGGATGAATTTGTCAAAGTTCTCGCGTCCAACCAGCCTGTCAAGGTAGTAAATGAAATGGAAGCCCTTCTCGTAGGGGACAGTGCTGAAAGCATCGTCTGGGTCGATGCCCTTGTGGCTGATGCAGAGCTTGGTGAACTCGTGGTCTTTGCCATACTCCTCGATCGACTCCTCTGATGTGGCATTCGTGATTAGCAGATGTCTTGGCCTTGTTCGTGTGTAAACTTACCGAGCGCCTTCCAGCCCCTGATGGCGGAAAAGTCAAAGTGGGCATCGCTACCGTGGATGGAAGCATTGATCCGGCGCTCAAGATACATAGTCCAGCCCTCGTTCAGCCAGAAATGCTCCCAACTAGCAGAGGTGACGAGATTGCCGCTCCAGCTGTGGGCCAACTCATGGGCAATGACATCGATGTTTTGCTTGTCACCGCTGATGATAGTGGGAGTTGCAAAGGTGAAAATCGGGTTCTCCATGCCTAAAGAAGTACTTGTTAGTCAACAGGCAGACACAACATCTTAGGGAAACTGACCTCCGTATGGGAAAGATGGAGGGAGGACCAGAACATTGTACTGTCCCCAACGGTAAGGAAAGACAATCTTCTCAGCAGCGTCCAGGAAGTTGTCCATATCAGACTCAAGTTCCCACTGGGATGCCTTCAACTCGTTCGGGCCGGTGGCCACAACGGAACGTTTGCCAATAGGGGCAGTAACAATATCTCCAGATGACAAGGCATAGAGGTAAGAAGGAATTGGAACCTTTTGCTGGAACTTATAGACCTTCTTGTCTCCCACGGTCTCTGGCGAGCCTGGGATCTCGACACCACTGGCAACGACAACATGAGGAGAAGTGATGTTGAAGTCGTAAGTGCTCTTGATATCTGGAGTATCCTGGCAGGGAAAGATGGAACGAGCATGGATTGCCTGGCACTGAGAGAACATGAAGGGAGCCTTCTTGTTGCTCGTCTGGGCAGGGGTCAACCATTGCAGAGCGGTGCACTTGTCAGTGGTGGCAACTTCAATCTCCACCTTGACAACATCGCCCTTGTCGGCGCCCTCTGGGACGGCGACATGGACGGGAGAGCCGTTGGCGCCATCACGGTCCTTGACCTCCCACTTTGATGCTGCCGAGTTGACCTTGACGGACGAAATGTCAAGATAGCTCGAGTCGAGAATAATCTCCTTGCTGGCTTTATCCGTCTGGGACTCGAGCTCGAGGATCACATTGCCGTGCAGACGTTTCCCGGCAAAGTCGACCTTGAGGTTTGTGATTGTGTGCTTGGTGCGCCACGCATCGTAATTGGAAAGGGTGTTTGGGTCCCGCATTTTGGCAAAGAAACGGCGTTGGGTGGTTTGTAAGTTTGTTGTCTTTTGAGCAGTCAGAGTGCCTCTTACGAGCTGAAGAAAACCCCGCATCAGATCATAAATTTACTTGATTCGATCTTGCGATCCAAACATTCCTCACGCCTTCCTACTTGGTCGAATGGTGGTCCAATCGATGCTTCTAGCCTTCTGATAGGTTGCACACATGACGTTTGGGTCCATACACGTGATTTAGCATGCGAAAAGCCTGATTTGGAAACTCCAGAGTTCACGATTCAGCTCATCGCTGTCGATTTCATCGTTTTTCATCAATTTTTGATCTGCTTCATTTTATTTATCATGACAGCGACGGTCAGTTTACTGGTAGCCCAATCTCACTTGGTTCCCCGAGCCCAAGCTTCAGAAAGTCCGAACCGAATACCTTTCATGCATGAAAGCATCCATCTTCTGACGTAAGGAGTGCCATCTTACAATCCAAGGTACAAGCTGACATGTCAATCAGATGTATCGACACTATCCGATGCCCAACAACCAATACATCCAACAGCATCAGTCGGCCTCGTCAGAAACCTCAGGATCCAGAAGATGGTGTCTGACAGGAGCCTCTCCTTTCTGTGCCTCCGCAAAACTCCGCAAAATTACGGACAACTGTTGGTAATCACCCCGAAGAGCAAATGCTGATGACATGCCGCCGTGTGACGGGAACTGCACTGATACGGCGTGGAGCGGCACCCGGACCGGCTCGTAGGCGAGTAGTACTCCGTGCGGTGCCGGTCCATCCCACGGCGTAAGTTCGGTGCTCTATCGTTATTGGACGATGACGCTTGGATCAGATAGTTGGGAACGAGCTGCAAGGCAACTTGCATCCTTCTACCAATCTTAATGAAGTCACGTCACGCAAAGGATTCAGTGTTCGGCAGATGGCTCTTGCCTCTGTTGTGCGTCGTGATGACTTGAAGAATAGTTTCGCATTCCAACAAGTCACACATGGTGTAAGCACCCTCGTTGCAGAGAGAACTTCGAGTGGATTGCTATTTGTATGTTCGATTCACGCACGCATCTGTGAACCTTTGGGGATATGCCGTGTTTGATCTTCGAAACGCTGAGAATGATCGACCTTGGGAATGATACACAAAACCTCCCTCTCGGGTCCTGCCCAGATCACCTGCATATGTGGCGGCGGCGACAACAACTTCGGATGGCTAGGCTGGAGCTCTCTTTCGCTCCGCATTGAGAACTGGGTCTGAAGAGCTCCGTTTACTATCCCCAATGTCCCCCTTTCCCCAGCCTGGACACCCCCTAAACATGCATTTGCCGCAATTCACCCAACAATCACTGACGACAGTTGCTTTCTTCCTTGACAATATTTTCACTCATTAAGCAAATACAACGCGCGAAATGAAAGCGTTGGAATGAGATTGTCCATTCATTTTGCTTGCTCGGAAAAGCTTCCTAGACGAGGTTGAACTGCAACAGTTATGCATGACCTCGTGCACTCCCCTCACTATAATACAGACTGTTAAGACTTGGTCCCAACACCTTGGATTGACGGGCGCCATCACCACAGTGCCAATCATTTACCCCGCGTTACAAGAAAATTGAAGGAATAGTTTCCTCAATGCATTGAAGATGCCACGACCTTGACACCTATATGCCACACTTCTTATGATAAGATCACTGCTTCGTTAATAGCCCGAAGGCAGGCTGATACACCTCCCACAATTTCTCTTAAAGATACTATAACTCGATGAAACAATTAACGTGGTTCGAAACATGATGCTCAATATATGAACTAGGAAGGCAGTTCTAGCATGGTTGTTCCACCCTCCACGAGCACTCCTCGTGGCATCACTGCAACAGTTATACCAGCAGTGATTCACTTGGGCATTGTACAGAGTCACAATCTCGTTCCCTAAAGCCTCCGCCCAACGCCTGAAGAGATGGACGATGGATGCCTGACAGGGAGCAGGATATCGTCGAGTTGCGAACACTTATGCGGCCTGCAGATATGCCGCTGGTCAGAAGACCATCCCAACTTCCTTTTCTCTCTGGATGGTGCTACAGAAGGAAAGCAGAAGCATGCCATGCTGCCTCGTCGGTTTCAGCAGCGACTAGCAAGTCGTCTCTACGCGGGCTTCAACCCCAAACGGGGAAAAGATGTTTCCTCGTGCATGAACTTCTCCAGTGTTTACGCTTCTTCTAGAGGCCTTCTTCACACATGGAATCTGGTGGAGCTATCGAGATCGTGATGGAGTCTGTCTGAGAGGGACGAGAATCTCAAACACCAAGACGGTGGAGCAGAACGCCTCTCTTCGTATTGGCGACCCTTCAAGAGAGGGGCTTGGCAGCCACTGGCCCCGCTGTCTCAGGAACCTTGTCCAACCGATGGTCCTCTCGCATCGAAGCGACGTCGGGGCGTGCAGATTGTGCGGCGCAAGACGACGGGGTATGGGGACCGGGCGCCGTCCAGGTTTGTCGGAGCAAGCCCGAGAACGGCCAGTTGGATTCTGAAGACATAGGATTTGTCCAAAGATTCCTACGACGTTGAGATGGACTAACATGATGTGCAGAGTGCAGATTACCATTTCCGCTTGGACACTTTGGCATCTATTTATGTCGATGGCTGCAGCTATCCTGAGGAGAGCTTCACATCTTCACACCCTCGTTTGAGCAATCCGGGCCGTCCATCATCACCTGGACCACAACCTCTCCACAAAATCAATGCACGTTCAGACGATGAACGGACTGGCGCTGTCACGAAG